ATTTCGTACAAATACTCGAGGGACTTAAATGTAATTATGTGATAAAGGAAGGGGCAAATATGTAATAAGTGAGGAGTTTTTATTCTATAAAAGGGACTCCCTTACCTTCAACGCCACAAGCCTAGCCAACTAAGGCAACATAACCCACGAGCCGAGCAGCCGAGCAGCATGTGCTACTTCTAGTTGAGCATCATTTCAGATTGAGCACCGCCTCATATCGAGCATTAGTTCAAGACAACATCTAGTTACTTCAGTCCACACATGGACTGAATTTCAAGTCTCCAGCCAAAAGTCTCTCTTAACTGAAGACTTAGGGGACTACTGTTTATATCATATTTAGGGCATCATATTTAAATCTCGTACAAATACTCGAGGGATTTAAATGTAATTATGTGATAAAGGAAGGGGAAAATATGTAATAAGTGAGGATTCCTTATTCTATAAAGGGACCCATCACCCTCATAATTAAAGGAGGCCAATTCCTAAGGCTCCTCACCCCCTCAAGCCCTCACTCTCAGAGCTCTCTCTCTCCCTCAGATAAATACATAACCAATGTGGATGTAGCCCAAACCTTGGGGTGAACCATGATACATCTTGTGTTATTTACATTTCATGCAGCTTCACGGTCGGATTTACGTTGTTCCAAGACCTCCGGTTTTGTGCATCAATAGATATGTATATTTAAGCCAATCCAATGGTCACCAATTTTTAATATTTAATTTAATATATATATATATATATAATTATTATTGTTAATGTACAAAACCTGAGGGGTCTTGGAATAACGTAAATCCGACCGTAAATCTGCAAGAAAGTAAAAAACACATGATGTATCATGTTTCACCCCAATGTTTGGGCTACGTCCACACTGATGTTGATTGTATTTCTCTTCTCTGTATGAATGTATGGATTACAAGTGTGAGGGGAGTCCCCCAGAAAAAGAGAGTTTGAGAGAGCTCTCTGATGAAAGTGATGGGATTGTGAGGGTCAGAGAGCTTTCTTTGGGGATCTGAGGCTTGAGGATTGTGAGGGTGATGAGTCCCTTTTATAGACTAAGGGCTCCTCCCCTTTTACATAGATTATGGGCTCAATGTCTGGAAGCCCAAGTAACGAGACCCAATATAATATGGTACTAATAGTAGTCCCCCAAGTCTTCAGTCAAGAGAGTCTTTTGGCTGGAGACTTGAAATTCAGTCCATGTGTGGGCCGAAGTAACTAGATGTCGTCTAGAACTGATACTCGATATGAGGTGGTGCCCAATATAAAATGATGCTCAACTAGAAATAACATATGTTGCGAGGTTACTCGGCTTATGGCTTATGTTGCCTTGGTTGGCTCGGCTTGTGGCGTTAAAGGTGAAGGAAGGTCCCTTTTATAGAATAAGGGCTCCCTCCTCAATACATAAATGATGAGCTAGAGTTGATGCTCGCGGCGAGGCGGTTGCTCAGCAGGCGGCGATGCTCTCTAATGATTGTGAGGGAGTCCCTTTTATAGAATAAGGGATCGATTCTCAATACATAAGTGATGGGTTAAGAGTCTCTATCTAATAAAGGTAAGGGAGTCCCTTTTATAGAATAAGGGTTCGCTCCTCAATACATGAATGAAGGGTTATGAGTCTCTCTTTAATGAAGGTGAGAGAGTCCATTTTATAGAATAAATGTTCGCTCCTCAATAGATGAATGATGGGTGCTCTATATATGGTACACTGTAAATAATGGGCTAAGTCCCCCAAGTATTTTTCATAAGGCCCAGTTGCGGAAGCCCAATATATAGTACATAGTGTAGTCCCCCAAGTCTTCAGTCAATAGAGTATGTTGGCTGGAGACTTCAAATTGAATCCATGTATGGGCCGAAGTGGAGGTTGTTCGGAGGCGGTCTTTATACTATGCACTGAAGCTTTGTAGGTGAAACTTTGAAGTCAGAACTTTGTAAATGAAGCTTTAGAAGCTGGAGCTCTCGAAGCTGGAGCTCTGTAAATGAAGCTTTCGAAGCTGATTGACATGAGTGATGTTCATGAATATTTATGTTGATTGACATGAGTGATGCTCATAGATGTTGACATGAGTAAAGCTCATGAATGTTGGCATGAGTGATGCTCATGAATGTTGACATGAATGATGCTCATGAATGTTTATGTATGATTGACATGAGTGATGCTTATGAATGTTTATGTATGATTGACATGAGTGATGCTCATATATAATTTTGAAGTACTAGACGTACTTTTGATCATCTAGTTGGTGATAATAGCAGCAGGATGCCGAATAATTTTGTAGTACTGGACGTACTTTTGATCACCTGGTTGGTGATAAAAGCGGCATGCTGCTGAATAATTTTGGAGTACTGGACATATTTTTGATCACCTGGTTGGTAATAATAGCGGCAAGCTGCCGAATAATTTTGGAGTAGTGGAGGTACTTTTTTTTTTTTTGCCTTCTTTACACATCAGTATAACTATACAATAATTGTTCCAGTTTGCAGAATACAACTTAATAAAATATTCATCAATGACAGTGGGTATGGGTGTGCCATGCTTTCCATTTCCTCGGCTTTTCTCCATCTCTAGACATCTTTTCCTTTTTCATTATTTTCCTCCCTTTATTCCTTGCTTTTGTGGTGTGGGTGTTCATTCCTTACTTTTATTTTCTGCTTTTTCTCGGTTTTTTTTCTGCTTTACTTTTGCTTTTGTTTCCCATTCCATTTTCTGCATGTTCTCCTGTAAAAAGTGACCCATTTGTACTCTCAGAAAGTAGGCATCTTTTTATCTTATTCATGAGTGCTTCTCGTGTAGTGTAAGTGAATACCGCCTGTATCTTGAATCCATGGGTGAGACAATCCATCCATTTAACTGGATAGGAGTTTGGTTGTAATTTGAAGCACCTAAGAGAGGAAGGATAAGCTTTGAAATGTTTCTTAAATCAAGCTCCGACGAAGCACCTCCCTGAGCAACTCCTGAGGTATCTGAGCCCAGCAGATCTGATTCAATGGCTCCCATCAAACACATTGACAAAACCACCATTCGATGCGTTTTTATTTCGCAAACCAGCTTCCAACTCACCTCAAGTTGGTTTTGAACATCACCACCATTTGAAGTGTTACTACTACTAGCTTCCTATCCCATCACAAACTCGTCCGAGCCACCTCCATAAACCCATCTCCCATCCTCAGAAATGATCACGGAGTTAAGTGAAACATCATTATGCCCCTGCAAAATACCTTTCGAACAGTGTGTACTCTTCTTCCTTAGGATCAGTTTTAGCATCTGGTTTGGCATTAGGAGCAAACTGAGCAAGACGAGCCTTCTTCTTTGCATCCTCATCACCCACCACAGTAGGGCCAGAAAGCCCAAACCTCTATGCTCTAGCCGTCCTCTTCAAGTCCTCTGATTTTTTAGATGTTTCGGATCCGTGTGATGTAGTAACAGTACCAAACCTCTCAGCGCGAGAGTTGCGCTTCTCTTTTTCTGTGACCTGCACGGATATCCTAAACGGCGCATCTTATTCTCAATGGCAGTAGCTGGAGCAGCCGCGTCACCAGTGGTAGAGTCAGTTTTGGGATCCTTACACAAGTGCTGTACTCTAGTGTCGCAGGTGGTGAAGCAGCGGCGGAAGCAATCGAAAACTATGTCCATGTTGGGGAGGTGGCGGGCTTCAACGATTGTGAGGTCGAGGTCACCGTGCAGGTAGGTCACCCGCTTAACCGTATTTTTGGCCATTTCCGGAAGTCAGTGTACAAACCCGTAATTTCATATACCAGATTTGATGGGTTTGCGGTGGGTGTGAATAGTGACAAAAGCTGGGTTTATGGGGGTTTGGCGTTGCTTATAGGCAGAGAAGGTGGGAGTTCTTTGCCAATTGGGAATTAGGGACCGGGTTGGGGTGTTTGGGATTTTTGATTTGTTTGCGTTTTTTAGAGATGGGTTTTGCAGTGAATCTGCAAGTGATTGGTTCTTGGGTTTCTGCAGATTCACGGTGGAGAGTGTGGTGAGGTCTCATGGTGGTGAGATGAAAAAATGAAAAAGAACCGACATAGCTTTTCGTGTCGATTCCCACAGACGGCGGCAAATGTTAATGCACAAAACCGGAGAGGTCTTGGAACAACGTAAATCCGACTGTGAATTTGCAAGAAAGTAAAGAACACAAGATGTATCGTGGTTCACCCCAATGTTTGGGCTACGTCCACACTAATGTTGATTGTATTTCTCTTCTCTGTATGAATGTATGGATTACAAGTGTGAGGGGAGTCTCCCTAGAGAAAGAGAGAGTTTGAAAGAGCTCTCTGATGAAAGTGAGGGGATTGTGAGGGTCAGAGAGCTTTCTTTGGGGATCTGAGGCTTGAGGATTGTGAGGGTGAGGAGTCCCTTTTATAGACTAAAGGCTCCTCCCATTTTACATAGATCATGGGCTTAATATCTGGAAGCCCAAGTAACGAGGCCCAATATAATATGGTACTAACAATTATAGTTTTTGTTAAATTAATATATATAATTATTATAGTATTTTTTTAGGGTTATAAAATTATAAAATTAATATTTTGCTTATCGTGTATCGTGTTACCCACGTGAATACCTGAACCAACCCGTTATCTTAATAGGTGCTTATCGAGTTATCCGATAACGATCTGATTCGTTATCGTGTCGATCCGAATACTTGTTAATTTCGTATCGTGTTGTGTTGGATTATCGGGTTGTGTCAGGAATTGTCAGGCCTAATCGGTGCTCTCTACCTAAACCATTTATTATTATTTAATTTCTAATTAAATCTAACCCAACCAAAAAAAAAGAAATTAAAAAAAAAAAGAGATTCAGAGCCACTTAATAATATGGTATTATTCTACACTTATAAGTGAGAAATTTTAAATTTTATATTATCGTTGTCAAAAATAAATTTAAACCACGTTATTACTAATTTGTTGTGCACACTCTCAGCCCTAGAGATAATAGCGTTAGTTTAAAAAACAAAAAAAAAATTTATGGCTGTTGCTCCTACTTGGTTGCTTTCCTTGTCATTCTCCTCCCTGTTTTTACATCTTAGCCGCGGGGCACACAGAGAGCGCAGTAACTATGGCTGTTGCTCCTCTTTCTTTCTAAACTCCAACCATCTCTCTCTCTCTCTCTCTCTCTCTCTCTCTCTAAATCTTAAACCCTAGAAAAGCCTCTCTCTCTCAATCTCTCTATTTCTGTGCAGAGTTGCCAACACTAGAGAGAGAGAAAGGGCTTTTGGTTTCAGATCGCGTTGATATCTCAGCTCAGCTCGCTCGCCGATCTACGCCGTCTCGCCCGAGTTCGCTCAATGGGCGGCTCGGACTATTGAAATGCTGGCTGCTGCTCTCCGCGATTTCGATGTTAATCGCCCAAAATGTCCGCTTCTTTAGCTGCTTTTGAGCGCCCCCTTCGACCTGCTGCTTCTAACACGGTACTCTTTCCTCCTCCCCTCTCCTTTTCTTGCTTAAATTAGTAGAGTCGATTTATTTATTTTATTTTTGAATATTTGTTTAAATTCGTTTTAGCTGCCTTTCGTGGGAAGCCGCCAAACTGATGTTGTGAAATGCGATTTTTCAATTTATTTTTTTTTAGATTTTGGTTTTCGTTAAATCACGGGTGGTGGAATGTTCGTCGCAAGTGTTGTGAAATTCGATTGCATTAGATTGATTTTGTTTCCATGTTCTGTTCTGATTGCTGGAGCAAAGTGTACAAGAAAGGAAATTAAAAGGCAAGTAAATTCGACGCAATGGTTCCCATACTTGTTGGTGTGGCAATGCACTTGTCGAAATTAATGAAGTTGCGCTTAGCCCGAGTTTAATCGCCTATTTTATTTTTGACTGCTGTTGATTTGGATTTAGAATGTTTCTTTTCTGTTATGGAACAACCGAACAAGAATTTCATTAAGATGATACCAATCGTGTACAAAACAGGATGTACAAGTTTGGAATGAAACTGCAGTGCAATTTCCCTTCATCCGAACAAACCCAAACGTGCCCAAGTTTTGAGGGAATTGATGGAAACTTCGATATTTTAATGTGAAATCAATGTCTTTATATTTGAATGTGTTCTTAACTTTCAGATTCTCGAAATTGCAGTCTGTCAGTTATCAATGTAACCTGATCATGTTTTGGTGTTCCTTGGCATCCCTTGTGCTTAATTTTGCAAAGTAGTTTCACATTGTGCTTGGTGGGTGGGAAATATTTTCATGCCTTCTAACATATCAGATGATCCAGCAGGTGTTCAAGAGTGGCCCACTTTTCATATCTTCTAAAGGTTGGTATACATCTCTTGTTCTCCTGTTCCGTTTCCACCCAATGATAGTTTTGGTCGCATCGCATTTCCAATTTATTCGTTATAACGCTCATTTGACTTCGACGTGATTCATTAATCTTAGAAGGAAAAAAATTGTAAATCTGAAATTTGATAATTGGCCTTTATAATGTTATCTTAACTTGGAAAATAATTCTTTACTAGACTTATCAGCATATCAATTCGTTGAATCCATTAATTGCTCTGATCATTGCCCAAGTGTTTATTTGTTAGACCAATGGATGTGGTACTAGGAACTAAGTTCCTTGGAAATTTCATAAGATTTAGACTTAAAAGATGATTAATGGGGGAGATAACAGAAGAAAAAAAAAAAACACATCCGAATGAAAGAGAGAAACAGAGATAACACTCCGAAAAGAAACACCCAAGGCATATAATTCTTAAACAAACCATTTAATTTCCAGAGATATTGATATCCTATTTATTTATCTGATTTGTACATTGATAAGTTTCTTTAACCTTATCCTATATCCGTGCAGCGTCTGACGTAATTCAAATAAACCATATCATAGGTGTTAAGAGTAATTTTTCTGAAAACTCTGTGCTTGTTGATTTTTACTTTTTCAAGAGAAATAACTATTTTTGCTTGGTCTAATTATGAACAGCTATTAATATATTTTAACAGCGTAACCATTTTTCCTGTTAGGCATTGGATTTGAACCAGTTTAGTATATTCCTTTTATTTATTATGAAATTTGTGTTAATTGTTGTGCTATTTCTTTCTTTACCCATCTTTGCTCGGTTTGCTGCACTCCTCTTTTATTAATTATGTATGATGGTTACTTTCAATCAGCATTTCCATGTCTTTGCGGAAGAAGTCACCTTATCGTTTGGTTAGAGATTACTTCTCATATGGTCTCAGGCATTGTTGCTGTAGTGTTTGTCTGTGTTTCGGCTAAGATTTGTGAAATCAAGTTACTATTTGTAAACTTTGTTTGGAAGAAATCCTATAAGAAAAAAGTGTTGATGTGCTGACTGTTGGTTTTTTGCTTTCTCAAGTGCAGAAATGTTGTTTCTTAAATGCTTTCTTCTGGCGGGAAATTCTGATGCCATCTCCAGAGTCTTCAGAATGTAATGCACTCTATCGACCGTGCAACCTGAATGTAATGTTACGCCTGGTTCAAAATCTTGTTCGAAGAAGCTCACCTACAACCCCTGCACTCTCACCCTCACCCCCCTATCTCGATTTTTCAGTGCATTTGTTGCTCCAGAACACTTGCTTGCAACGTTATTTCTCTGGGGGGTCAAAGGCGTCGGCGTCACGCCCTAGTCTCTCCATATGGAGGCGCAAGAAAGAGATGGGGAAGGAAGGTCTCATGGTGGCTAAGGAGCTCAAGAGGCTCCGCTCTCAGCCTCTCCGCCTTGACCACTTCATTCGCTCCCATGTCTCCCGCTTGCTCAAGTCCGATCTCCTCGCTGTTCTCGCCGAGTTCCAGAGACAAGACCAGGTCTTTCTCTCTATCAAGGTTTGTTTTCTTTACTTCTTCTCTCTTAAATTTTTGTCCGAATTTTTGTTGTCATTATCATTATATTATGGTAGGTCTGGGAGAGGTCGCACTTGGTGCGATGGCAAGTGCCTTCGCCCATGAGCGGTAGGTCTCGGGTTCGAGACTTGGGAGCAGCCTCTCCATAAATGGGGGTAAGGCTAGCCGACATTCACCTCTCCCAGACCCTGCGTAAAGCGGGAGCCTTGTGCACTGGGTACGACCTTTTTTTTATCATTATATTATGGTTCTGCATGTTGGGGTTTTAAAAAAAAAAGTTGCTTTGTTTGATTTTCTAGAAAATTCAAGATGGAAATGTTAAATTTATGAATGTAGAATGATGAATTGTTTGGGCTCTTATTTGTTGGAGCCTTGGAGGCCAATGCATATTGAGAAACAATTCACAGTTACCTAACCATCATGGAGGTATGAATTCTCTTTTGGCATAGGATAGCCTGGCTAATGTGCACCGCTACACGTACAAATTCTTAGTTTTCCATCTTCAGGAGCAGAATTTTGTGATTTCTTTCACTGTGATTCATCTGCAGTATTGCTAATCTGCTACTATCTAAAGTAGTGCTTGGTTCAGTTGAATAAAAATTGAAATGGAATATACCTTGTCGAGAACACTTTTATTGGTTAATTAGAAATTTACAAGTTTGCACTATCTTCTAAGTGTAAAAAGGTCGTACCCAGTGCACAAGGCTCCCGCTTTACGCAGGGTCTGGGAGAGGTGAATGTCGGCTAGCCTAATTATTTATTCTGGTCAATTACAACATTGTGGTAGGGTGTGACTGTAACTAATCAAGTCTTAGCTAGACCATGAGATGATACTGGAAAGGCTAAATGATATCAGTAAAGAAACAGAAAACTTCCTCTGTAAGTGTTCAATTGTATTGACTGAATGATAACTTTACAGTGTGTAGATATATATAGCCTTTGGCTATTTACATAGATACCCCTGACTACTTTTATAGCTGTCCTAACTAATCTCAACAGATACTACAACTAATTACATTCAGTTATTTAATAGTAATAGATTGTTAACAGTAACAGAATTGGATGACTTGTCATTCTCCCTAATACACCCCCTCAAGCTAGAAGGGGAATCCGAAATGAGTCCAATTGGAAGCTTGGAACACAGATAGGTGAATCTGTTTTTAGACAGGGACTTGGTATGAAGATCAGCCAATTGGTCTTCACTGCAAATAAACCGTACTTGAAGGAGTTTTGCCAGAACCAATTCTCTAATATAGTGCTAATCAATTCTCTAATATATAGTGGTACTTGGGTTCGCACAATCCTCTTCAGATGCTTCTTTATTTGTTCTCAATGGTCCTCAGTTGGTGATTGTTCTTGTCTATGTTAATGATATTCTTGTCACTGGACCCCATCCTCAACTTTGCCAACACTTTATCAAGCAACTCGGTGCCCAATTTCCAGTGAAAGACCTTGGTCCTTTACACTATTTCTTGGGTTTAGAGGTACACAGATCTTCACAAGGCATATTTCTCCACCAAACAAAGTACTTATTGGATCTTCTTAAGAAAACCAACGTGGAGGGTGCAAAACCTTGTTGCACTCCTCTTGGATCTAAGAAACTAGATCATAGTGGGCCTCTCTTGTCCAATCCTACTGAATATCGTTCCATTGTTGGTGGTTTACAATATCTAACTTAGACTAGACCGGATCTTGCCTTTGCTGTGAACCAAATCTGCCAATTTGTGCATGATCCCCGAAAGCAACATCTTCAGGTAGCAAAAAGGGTTCTCAGATTTCTCAAAGGTTCTTTTTCCCATGGTTTGTGGTTCACTAAAGGTCCTGTCCATCTTTCAGCATACTTTGATGCTGATTGGGCTGGCTGCACATTTGACAGGTGATCAACTGGCTATTCTGTCTTCTTGGGTTCTAATCTTATTAGCTGGAGTGCCAAGAAACAAAGCACTGTTGCACGGTCATCTACAGAGGCTGAATATCGCTCCTTAGCTCACACAGCTGCTGAAATCACTTGGGTTTGCAAAATTCTCAAAGATTTACACTATCCTCTATCTACATTGCCTACTCTTTGGTATATCCCAAAAAAATACAACTTTTGCTCTTGGGATCCAATTTGGTATGAATATAGGGTTTGAGCCAAGGGAAGCATTGACAACCAAACACTTTTAGTTTAGAGTAGTCTGGATGGCGGTGAAACAACAACTCCCAAGGTGACTGTGAAACACCAGAGATGGGAAGGATTAATAAGGTAGATGGCAGTGGAGAAAGCTTCTACCCAGAAAAGATGAGGGACATGAGAGGCAACAAGTAGAGTTCTAGCTGTCTCAACAAGGTGCCGGTGCTTTCGTTTTGCATAACCGTTTTGCTCAGGAGTGTGGGGACAGCTGAAATGATGAAGAATGCCATGTTTGCTAAGATATGATGCAAAAGAATGACTTGTAAGAACTTTTATTTTATTTCCAAGTAAATTTTCTACATATGATTTGAAGACAACAAATGTAGAGAATACATCGGACTTGGATTTCAAAGGAAAGAACCAACTATATTTGCTATAGTCATCAACAATAAACAAATAATATTGAAAACCACTATTGGATTTGACCAAGGCAGGTCCCCACAGATCACAGTGCAGTAGCTGAAGACTTTGAGTTGTTGATGAAGTAGCTGCTTTAAATGGGAGCTTATGATTCTTAGCCAGTGCACAATATGAGCAGAAAAAATCCACAGTAGTCTTGCCTTGTAAAGCAAGATTATTAGTTGAAATTACCCATCTGAAAATGGAGGAGGAAGGATGACCCAAGCGCCTGTGCCAATCTTTAACAGGAGCTTTAATACTGAGTAAGGCTGTAGGTGAAGAAGAATGAGAGTTGCTTGAACTTTGAAGAGGATAGAAACCATCTTTAACCGGTCCCCGTAAAAGCATCTTCCCTGAAATACAATCCTTGACATAGGATCCATAAGGGTCAAGTGTCAACGAACAATTATTATCATGAACAAACTGATAAGCAGATAAGAGATTATGTTTTATGTGAGGAACATGTGAAACATTTCTTAGGTGAAAGGAGGTATGAGGAGTGTGCAGAGAAAAGAAGATGAACCAACATTAAGAATAGACAAACCTTTACTGTCTCCAACATACACTTTATCCTCGCCAGTGTAGTAGGAGAGGTAACGTTAGCAACATCACTAATGATGTGAGAGGTTGCGCCGGAATCAATTAACCAAGGTTGAGATGGTTTAGCAGAATAATGAGCACACATGGCAGTGAGTTTAGCTGGAGGAATACGACCACTGATATACGAATTCATATGATCGAAACAGTCAATAGCCTCATGACTGGTAGAACCACATATTTGACAAGGAACTTTGAAGTGAGAAGAACCTTGATTGTTGTGAGAGCCTTGATAACCTCGATTGCCACGATTGTTGGTAAAGGTACCATGATTTCCTCGATTACCTCAATTGGAAAAGAACTGCCCCTTAGTGTTCCTACCACGATTGGAGTTAAACCGAGATGCAAAGTGAAGAGGTTGATGCTGAGCAGCAAATGCAGATGGATTAGGAAGTAGGGAAGGCTGAGATTGCACCGAGAAGGCCTAGAAAAGTTCACTAACAGAAGATGAACTAACAGTTTTGCGCCTTGCCATAGACAATTCCTTTGTAAGAAGGTCATGAAGTTCATCAAGAGAGGTAGAGGACAATCGAAGCATGATAGAATCTATGAAAGACTCAAATTCATAAGGCAAGCCATGTAGTGTGGCTGCAATAAGATCTCGATCAGACACAGAAGCATCAGCGACTTGCAAGGAATCTGAAATTTCCTTGAGATCTTGAAGATATTCAAAGATGGAACGAGATCCTTTCTGAATAGATTGAAGGCGCGATCGCAGTTGATGGATATGAGCCTTTGAAATGCCAGCAAAACGCTGTTCAAGCTTCACCCAAAGCTCTTGAGATGACGAAACCCCAATCGTGAAAGGGATGATTTCCTCAGAAAGTGTGGAATTCAACCAAATCAAAAGATTTTGATCTTTTTCATACCATTCCTCAAAAGCAGGATTGATGCGACGATCAGGGAGAAATGGCGATGGACAGACTTCGATACCATCAATGATGCCAAGAAGCTTATATCGCCGGAAAATCGGGCCAAATAGTGCCGCCATGGTAGATAATTTGATCTTTTCAACTTGATCGGCACCATGCTACCGATGTTGTGAATTGTAAGAGAAGTGTAGGAATTCATAGGATTGGGATTACAAGAGGAATTAGGGTTTGGGCTCGAGGGGGAGATGACCGGAGAAGACGATCCAGTCGACGGAGCCGCCATTACTGACAGAAATCAAGATCGTAGAAGACAAATCGAAGAATCAGAGAAAAAAAATAACAAGAATCGATCACAAATCGATCGATGTAGCGAGCGGAAAGGGAGATCGAAGCGGTGAAGCAAAATGGCGAGATACCATAAAGGAAGTTTTCAATTGTATTGACTGAATGATAACTTTACACACTGTGTAGATATATATAGCCTTTGGCTATTTACATAGATACCCCTGACTACTTTTATAGATGTCTTAACTAATCTCAACAGATACCACAACTAATTACATTCAGTTATTTAATAGTAATAGAATTGTTAACAATACCAGAATTGGATGACTTGTCATTCTCCCTAATAATCAGATCCTCCTTTAGGGCCTATAAATTAGATGCACATTAGTTGGACTCATTAGAGCCTATAAATTTTGGTGGGTTTTTTTTTTGGGGAGGGGGGGGGATCTCCCATATTTTTACTTTTCTTCTTTCTTCCTTAGACTCAATAGAATAGTTGGACTCATTAGGGCCTATAAATTTTGGTTGGTTGGTTGGGGGGGGGGGGGTGATCTCCCATACTTTTACTTTTCTTCTTTCTTCCTTAGACTCAATAGAATAGGAGGAATAAGGAAAAGGAAAGTGTGGCTAGGGTCTTATATCAGGGCCCCACCTTTTCTAAATCAGTAGAGCCGCACCATTTGTTGGAGAACAAGAGGGTGATGGTTCTAAACCCTCACACCCTTGTAAGGGTACAGCAAAGGAAAATTAAATCCTTTATCTACCTTCTCAAAAAGGAAGTCACAGTAAGAGCTCCAGTGCAAGAAGCTCCCTGCTCTCCCCCTTTTTTTATTGCTTGCAGAAAATTAAGAGTTTTCATGAGGTGTGGGGTTTCTCAGTTTCTATTGTAGCGTGTATTGTCTTGCATTTTAAGTTTCTAATATGTTCATATGCACAGAAACCTGCTAGTTTATCGTGCAACTTTGGCTGGTTGTACTAGGCTTTGTTCTTAGTCATCCAAAAATAAATTAACAGCTTCTCACAAGCATGCATTTTGTATCTAGATTTGCCCACGTGAAAGGTAGGACAAAATAAAATGAAAATAAGGTGAGCTCGAAAGGACCTGCAACTATGAGCAGGGATTGTAAATTTGTGTAAGTTCAGGCTACAAAGGGATTGGAGAAAAAGTAAAGTTGCCATACAAAAACAAAGCTTTGATAGCGACTTCAAAGATACTGGAAAATTTTGTGGATCTTTGCTGATTCCTCTCAATGAAATTTGCCGTGTTGCACTAAGTTACTTACGGATGTATGCATGCAATCCGGGAACCCTTTGGGGTCGATCAACCATAGGACCTGTTTAGAGTTATTTGGTCCTTTATTTTCCGTTTAGTTGAGTTTCTTATATTGCATCAACAAGTGCACATGCATATTTCTTCTGAAAGGAAAGGAGCATTTTACTCTTTTTGGTTGGGGTGGGTGAGGAAGGAAATATGCATGTTGATTGGCTTGGTGAGGAAGGAAATATGCATGTTGATTGGCTATCCTGCAATGTTTTCTTTTACTAATACATAATGTTTTTATTTTTCCAGATATATGATGTGGTTCGTAAAGAGATTTGGTATAGACCGGACATGTTCTTTTATAGGGACATGCTTATGATGCTTGCAAGAAACAAAAAGGTGGATGAAGCAAAGAAGGTTTGGGGAGATCTGAAGAGAGAGGAAGTTTTATTTGATCAGCATACTTTCGGGGACATCATGAGGGCTTTCCTAGATAGTGGTTTGCCCTTGGAGGCAATGGAGATATATGGTGAAATGAGACAATCACCTGATCCTCCAATCTCATTGCCGTTTAGGGTAATATTGAAGGGCCTCCTCCCGTACCCAGAACTGAGGGAGAAGGTGAAAGATGACTTCTTGGAGCTATTTCCTGATATGATCGTCTATGACCCACCTGAAGACTTATTTGAAGACAAAGAATGGAAAAGAGAGAGTGAAGATGATGACTAATAGTGCTGCAAGGCATGATGCAATCCGTTGTGTGTGGTGTTTAAGTAGGTCTTTTACTAGTAGATGGTTGATCTGCTGCATGCTACAACAATTAATCCAGCACTTAAGTTTGTGTTGCAACGAGTAAGTAACCCTGATTCTATTAACAAAGTATTGTCTTGTAAATGCTTTTGGGAAGTCTTATTCAAATAGTTAGGCAGACTTAGGTATGCGATCCTAGTTTTGGTTTTAGTTATCGTTCTCATGTTTGGGTTGAAACAATTTTTGTTTCCGAGTTTCAAATTACTACTATCCTACTGCCCTACCTATGCCCCAAATGTCTTATGTAAATGAAATAATTTTCCGTTGGCGGGCTTTCATCGCCATTTAGGGTTTTGATGCCAAAAAATGGACCAACTCCGTTGGTGAAAACACTAGATTATTCATTCCAATTCAAATGAGGTCATGAAAGAGAATATTGATCCCTTTTTATTTACATCAATTTCCTTTTAAATAAATAAATATATATATATATATATATATATATATCATAAGTCTATATCTATATAGATATAGCCTCACAGTGATATAGCCTCACAGTGGGACTAACTAATGTATTTGGGGGCAGTTTTTGTCCAATGCCAAGTGAACGCCATCGCGAACAGTTAAGTACTCTTCCAAGGCAGGATCTGAAACCTCGAGTGTAGCTACCGGCTTTGTCACGGAATATGACACCAGCTCCCCTTGACCGGTAGCAGCGTGAAAGTCTCGGTCTATATGAATTTGTAACCATTGGTTAGGACTTGGAGGGAGCCACCGAGAAGGAGAAGAGATTGGTTTTGCAATCGAGTCGGGCTGAGCATTCAAATAGTCTAACAAATTCGAATCAGCTAGACGGCCCACAACTGCCGGATCTTTTACGAGCACGTCGAATAAAATACGAACCTGATAGCTGCCAAGTACAAGCAATGTGGTATAACCTTGCTTAGAAGTGAGGACGAGAACAAACTGCCTTGGCGAATGGACAACCTTTTGGCCACATGCAGCGGCAGCGCCGACTCCAAAAAGAAACTACAAAATAGACATATCTAGTTTAGTTACCAAATTCGATCTAGTAGGGAGAATGTCATTGCATAATTTCCATAAGTAAATTTTAATTGGATTTGGAACCTTAGAATTCCATAGAGCTTTCCAAAGTGTAGAAAAAGCTGCAGAGGAACTAGAGGATGGCCTCTCATAATTCAAATCAAAACCCACTCTTCACAGAGACTGAACCCTTATACCTACTTCAACCTTTGGAGTAAAACTTTAATTTTAGGTTATAAACTTACCTCAACTTGCTCCAACCCTTTGGACAAATGATGTGGTAGAAACTAACACACAAATTAAACCCTATAAATTATGCAATCGTAATATGAGTAAGTATGGATCGTTCTATTCAGGGGATTAGAATGGATGCTAATCAACACAAATTAAACTTATAAAACTGAAAACTAAGTTAAACTAACAATAGAACAATGACTGGGGGGATTTTGGACGAGTTTGATTAAAACAAAAGTAAATGGCAGCAAGTAAATTAAGTTGTGAATGAAATATGGATGAAATGATAGCTAAATGATTCTTCTCCACACATGAAACATATGCATACAAATCGATTTCCAGTTATTCTTCTTATAAACCATGAATGACAATGCCCCAAATTAACTGTGAACATCACCAATTAACTCTCAGATTTTCCTCAGTTCATTGAATTGGACTAAGCGACGCAACCAAATTATTTTTCTCAAGTTCCCTAACTATGAAAAGCATGATAGAGATACATCTTAAAGATCATTTAGTTCTGTGAAAATCATAAGCATTGACAAAACATTCGTAACTATGAAAAACATGATACTCCTACCAAGAATTTACTTAACTCAATCATGACTAGTTACTACTTACAAATATAAGTTCATAACTATTAGGTGAAATTCCCTTATATTCTAGCATCAAATCCCTGCATGCAAACTAAGTATGCATCTTTAATAAACATACAAGAATAAGTTCTCTATAAAGCAAATAAATAAATCACATTCATGCTTTATGAAACAATAACTTAATGGAATCAATTTATATAAAACATATGATCATGGCTTCGAATTCATCTCTAGCTAAAAAGAAACTTAGTTACACATATTCGTCATAACTAAAAAGCAATTTAAAATAAACATTGAAACTTAAAACAAAGATAGAAAGAACTCTGAAAATTCTAGCAACTTCAATGGATGAATGTTAGGCGCGGCACACCCAAAATCGTTGCAGGAATTTCATATATATAGGGGAAACAACTGAATCCAAGGAGGTTTTGGCGTTTTAAATTATTTTAGAACTCTAAGAATCAGGAAGAGTGTTGGAATGTGATTAGGATTTCTCTTTGCAGCTGGAGATAAGATAAGATAATGTTGGATAAGATAGGATAAGATAATATTCCTCTTCAACTAGGATTCCTCTTTCTTGTGTAATTCCTTACCTTACAAGCCTCAACTTTAATTTATCCAGATTTTAGCATATGTTTAACACCATTTAAACACCAAAAATGTCCAGCCTATATGCTATCCAATCGAAGTCCAAAACTGCTCCAAATTGCTCCATTTGGCTATCTATTGTCATCTTTACCAACTGGACATACAATAATAAGAAAATAACTTAAATTACTACAATAAATGGAAATTAACTAAGAAAATACAAAGAAATAAGATAACAAAGTTGAATAAATATGCTTCTATCAACAAATATGAGTTTTAACTCAAAACTCATTTATGAGGCAAATTTAGGCTAGCATTTTCCCTGGGTTAGTAGGGCTGGCCCATCATATACGTGTATTTTTTTTTTCAATTTTATATTTATAAATTCATTGAATCCAATGGCTAAGATCTAATATGATCAAATCCAACAGTTAAAAAAAGATCTAACAATCCAAATTTAAATCGAATGGCTAAAGTAATTAAGAAAAATTCTTTTATTTGTTTCATATTCTTTAATAGCGTTCCACGAGTTTTTGTCGAAGTTCCTTTTGAGTGCAAATATAAGGATAGTATAGTGGCACAAGTAAGGGTGTCGAACCACAGGGAATGAGAAACAACTTAGTAAAACCTTTTACAAATTAGTATTAGTTAAAGACTCCTATGATTTAGTAAAACCTTTTACAAATTAGCATTAGTTAAAGACTCCTATGACTTAAAATGGGGGGTTTGAGTAATTTTGGAAAAGAAATAAAGGCAAAAAGAAAAGGGAAAAATTAGAACTATCTAAAAACAAACCTAAGACATGGAATAGATTAGAAACGTTTTTAGGACATAAATTTGACTTCAAATGAACACAGGTCTACTAAACATTCATGAATCAGTGATATGATCTTTTAACTTATCCTTTTCAAATGCACAACTAAGATGTTCACATATCTAGCATGGCATATAACTAGATTGTATGAATCCTCTCTTACTTTGCATGTTAGATGCATGTCATATACATAAAACTTATATTTGTAAGTGCAACCTAGCATGACATATACTCAGATTTAGTACCTAGAAACTCATTAAGAACGAAGAAGATCATGAACCCTAGAACATGTCATTTATCCTAGAACTTCATGGAATCAATTTACATGATTAGTTTTAAACCTAACCACATGTTGCTAATGAATGAAAGAAGATATGGCAGTAATCCTTATCATTCTCAACAGAAAGCAAACATAAACAAGGTAGCTAAGCTTGAAAATATGTGCTTGAAATGATTGAAACAGAAAACCGATTCTAGCTTGCAAATGAAATTGATAAACTAAAAACTGCATCATAACATTAATGCAATCATGTCTAGGATTTCAAAGTAGCCCTAAGTATCCATAAAAACAAAATACATAAAAAGTCAGGAAAGCTAGAACCTAGAAAACAGCTCAAGGCTGAAGACTCTTGCTCTCTCCCTAGATTCTCCTCCTTCTGTTGAGTATTTGTCTCCTATTAAAAGGCTTAGGACTTATCTAAAATCTGACACATATACATCCTTGAATTTACTCTCATTTATAACTCATAACAACCAGCTTTTAGTATTGGAGTAACTAAAATCTAGTTGTTATCAGAATTTGTAACTGAACAGCTCCTCTTTATTCTGTTATAACTTCTTGTCGAAACTTCCAAATCACAAGTTGTAAAGGCCATCAGAAAGAAGACTTCCAGGGCTTTCCAACCATATATGGCCTATTTTCTAATTCGTTCTGAGCACTTCGGGACAAAGCTCACAAGTTGGCTGTTTTGAAAAGACCTTTTTTGACGAATCTTAGGCCAATATTCAAAATAAGATGATTTCTCCAAGCCTTTACTTTCATCCTGAAATACAATACAAATAACAAAATACCTTGTGATTAGGGATGGGTAAATACCCATTGGTTATGGGTAACCGCGGTTACCCGCCCATTTAAATTAAACGGTTACGGTTATGGGTAACCGTTTACCCATTTATTTTATATATGTAAAACTAACACAAACCATGTTCTTGATCCAATAATACTTAGCACCCAATAAATTAGCAAGGAATTCATCGGTCCTTCTCTCAATAACACTGCTACAGGAATGATGATTCTCATCATCAAGGAATTCGCCAAATTAATTTAAATTCTTTGCGGGTAACCGTGAAATTGACAGAAATGATTTGACAGAAATGTCTTCTAAACAATTTTTGTAACCCAATAATACTTAGCAAATATTATATTTACCTTCATTGGTAACAGTTAAAAATATCGTCTGTAAACTATTATTTCAATTATTGGAATGGTATAAAAACTTAAAAAATTAAAATACGGAAATGTATGATGAATGTACCTATAACGGTGTTTAATTGTAAAAAAAAAAATTATGACAATTTTTTTTAATTTTCAAGTTGTTAAAAAAACATGTAGACGTAGGGGTGGGTTCGGTACGGTTACCGTACCAAAACCCTCGTACCAATTACGGTATCAAACTTTCGGTTTGGTAAAATCTATTACCAATACCATACCAAACTTTCGGTATACCGAAGTTCGGTATTGCCAAATGTTCGGTTGGCATGGTATGGCAATGGTAATTGCCACTTTGTTTTGGGACAAAATTTGTTTTGGCTTTTTTAACCCAATTCAAGTGCAAAACTTTTTTATTGTACCTTTATCTAATACTTTGTAGCCTAAATTCATCTATTATTCATCATTCACAATTCACACACACAATAATTCAAATGATGCATCAAGATTCATGATGAAAATTAAGTTTACAATCCAAATAGAAGCTACGACCCAAAACAAATAGAAGTTTCCCCCATGCTAAAGATCGTCTCTATCCTCCATTGGTTCAAACACACTTCTAGAACTTTCCCAATGTCTTCTCCCTTATGACCTGTGATCTTTATGAAGTTTATAATCCGTTTGTGCAACTTTCATTCCCTATCCATGAAGTGAGCGGTAACTACC